CAATAGACACCACATTCTCCACCAGTACAACATCAAAGATAAGCGTTACAGCTCTGAAGCAATTAAGCGCATGGGAAGGAATGCAAAGCAAATAGAAAACATCTCCACACTCATGGCAGTGTAGCTGACAGTTTCTGATATAATGCTGCCACGTGCTTTAAATATCACAAAAAGCCACTGTTTAAAGTAGCTTATTTTATTTGATGGGCAGGACCATAATCTGTTTCCCTTGTCCAAAGCTTGTTTGTTGAGATGACACACAGCTTGCTGTAACTACAAAAGGAAGGGAATTGGTTTTATTCAATATCTTGCACTATGAGTATCCAATACCAACACGATACCATGCAAAAAGGTGCTACTTGTATTGTCTTCCTGTTTCAAAGAACCACATAGAAGTTATTCTGTTTTATCCCCATAAACACCTTACGAAGTATATTTGATAGAGAGCCATTTGTCTGTGCACAATAACTATTCCAAGTATTCTGCATTTACAGTAAGCTTTCTCAAATATCACAACTGAGCCATGACCAATGTTCCCTCTAATTTTTCTCCCCTACTGAGCAGGTCAGTTCACATCCTGAGCAATCTTAAAATGGGCAATGGCCAGTACAAGACCCCGCGCGGCTCCCGACTGCTGCTGAGTGGGGCTTCCTGTGTTAATGAGCAGCTGCTTTCACACACAGCTTAGAGGGAGCGCTGGCCGTGACACTTGATACATAAATTACTTTTTTAGGGTTAGGGTGCTTTGAATGCAATACAATTACCTCCCTGCCGCTTCTTAAAGGCAGTACTGAGTTGGGGATGACACTAAACTCGGGAACTAGCTTTGGACTAGGGAAACAGTTTATCAATATTGTTCCATCCTAATAAATGAAATGGAAATGGTTTGAGAGAGGTACAGAGGCCTCACGGAGAGGTCTCTTGGGCTGCTGTTGCCACTGAGCCAGTTTTGGAAGAAATTAAGGAAGCACTGGGACATGGCTTGGGGGACAGCATTCAGACCTTCACACTCCAAAATCTGGGTGACAGATTTTTTTTTAATTGACTCAGGAATTCCAGCTCTTTTTCACATTTTTCTTGGGGGGTGGGTGGGTTTAAGCCAGTCACTCCCAATTTCAAACTGAACTGAAGGGAGCTGAAAGAAAGGAAAGCTACATGCATTAATGTGATGTGGCGAATATCCTAACTCAGTGGTGGCGAACCTATGGCACGGGTGCCAGAGGTGGCACTCAGAGCCCTTTCTGTGGGCACGCATGCCATCGCCCCAGCCAGGCCCAGGCCATCATTAAAGTGTCGAATTCTTGTCAGGTATCTGCCATGGAGGTCTATGTGTATCAATTCACCCCCCTTCTGTCTGCCCGGCATCTGCGCATGCCTCCTGTATGTTCTGTGTGTATCCTTGTGTCCTGCATTCCATTCTATGAACGCTAGCGTACGCTTATCTGCAAGATTAACAGGTGTGGAGAAGGAGCAGCTTAGCTTAGACTATAATGAGCTGAACCGTGTGAAGCTGCATTTGTTTATCTTTATAGAAACGTTGCTTCTCAGGCTTTTGAGCGCGAAACCAAAAGTCTGCCCGCTCGGCGGGAACCAAGGTTATTGGTTATTGTCTTTTTGAATGTCTTTCATTATCCCTTGCCCGACCTAGCCCAGGTATCTGGACAGTGCCTTTGTTCGTGCTCTATCATGGCTTTAATAAAATACTACTTTGCTTAAACGTGTATTGGACTTATAGCTGTGGGGAAGCGGACAATTCTCTGCCAAATAATTTTAAGTAAATGAAAGCATTTGGGATTGCTTTCCTTACTTTGTTTGGATCATCTTAAGTTAATGTATGAGTGGTTTTTTCTAAAGTAAAACCTCAGTATTCAGGTTAAATTGCCGTGTTGGCACTTTGCGACAAATAAGTGGGTTTTGGGTCGCAGTTTGGGCATTTGGTCTCTAAAAGGTTCACCATCACTGTCCTAACTGTTCAAGGAAGGAAGGAGTGCTACAAGTGTAGCTTACATGGTAGAACGAGGAAGATAAATGTTACTTGGGGGGGAGAACACCCTCCGATGCCCAGGAACGGAGGCCAAGTTCTGAAACCCCAAAAGCAAGAAAGCTAAGGGCCCATATTAAGTGCCCTTGAATCTCCAGCTAAAAGGACCTTTCCATGATCGCCCACGCAAACCTGATCTCAACAAATCTCAGACGCTAAGCAGGGTCAGTCCTAGCTAGTATTTGGACGGGAGACCTCTAAGAAATACCAGGGTTGTCACATGGAGGCAGGCAACGGCAAAACCATCCCCGAACATCTCCTGCCTTGAATACCCTACAGGGCTACCGTAAATCAGCTGTGACTTAAGAGCAAAAAAAAGAATTCCTGAGATCGTGAAGAGCGGCTGCTAGTCGAGGTAGATCAAGACAGTTCTCAAAAGGGTACAGAATTTTCACAAGAAACTTTGGTGGCCTTTCGCCCTGCCCCAGTCCTGAAATGGAGCAGAGGCTGGCCGTGTGTTCCCACAGTATAAAGCTCACATGGTTCTCACTTGCACAGCATGGGACTGATAATTGTGGGGGCAGAGTCCCTTCTCTGAGAAAGTACCAAGTTGGAACTTACAAGACGGAAGCATTCTGAAAGTGACTAGTAAAGGCTGTCTCATTTCCAGTTAGGTTCAAACTAAAAAAAGCAACAACTAGCCACTCAGTTCCTCGTCCATTTAACAACCTGACAGGCAGTGTTCCCTCTAAGCTGAGTTAGTGTGAGCTAGCCCACAGTTTTTTAGCCTCCTGCTCACACATTTTTGTCTTAGCTCAGGAAAGATGGCTCCGGAGCCAACTAATTGATGCAGCAGCCAAAATCACTTGCTCACAACTTTAATGCCAGTAGCTCACAAAGTAGAAATTCTGCTCACAAGACACTACCACTTAGAGGGAACATCGCTGACAGGACATTATTCCATCACTACTCTCATTTAAGGACATTCCACACTTTCCCCTGGAAGTACATCTCAGTGGAACAGTTCCATTTCCTCTTTTAACCTAGATGAGGCATAAGGGGAATTTCCAAGGAGTCAGAGACAGTCGCTTTGCAGCACCATTTATTTATTTATTTAATTCGATTTATACCCTGCCCTCCCCGCATGTGCGGGCTCAAAAGTAATGGAGAAATACATATGACTGAAGCCTGTTATGCTGCCATTCACACAATTTAAACACTCTACAACTTTTAGGCACATACAGGTAAAGAATTCAAACGGCTTCAAAAATCAGAATCCCTTCTGCTAAAGGCGGAGCCAGATTAATTATTAAGGCACAAGGACCAATACTTAATATGTGTCCAGAGCATCAAGTTGCTTAAAATGACTGC